GTTTACTCGGTCAATAACAATATACCTACAAAACACACCAAACTACGTATAACTACCACATTATAACTGAGTGAATGTAAAATGTAAGTATACAGTTATGAAGACATATCTGACATTTCCACTGGGTGACTAATTTCAATTGATGTTGACACCATCTCACAACACTCCTAAAATAACATTACTTTCTGAAGCAGCATTTAAAATGTATGCTGTTTAAAATCTCAAATTAGATCTATTGTCCATCTATATTTTGACTATTATTTATTGGAAACTGTCCATAATCAAAGAGTCATTCTAAGTCAATCAAATACTTATTTCACTTCAGGGTGATAGCAGGACACCCCATCTAGTCAATCAGAGAAAATCAGGACATTCTGATGTAGAGTTTCAAAATAAAATACTTTCGAAATCTCATATATGGGCTATCGTCCTTCTGTTTGTATCCAACAGTTAAAATGTTCGAATTACATTGAACCAGAATTGTCCCCAATTTGTCTTTAACAGTGACGAAAATTGGATATGTTAATGATATATTGACCGCAAAACTCAAAATGTCCCCGGTTTTAAGGTTTTAATCTTGAAAATCTGGTCACCTTAGCTGTTTCTTCACAAATAATTTATGATGCTCACAAACAGAATGTATTCGAGCCAAGCTTCAGATAGCATCAGACCCTGAACTGAACTCTCAGTCCAGCTCTGGCTCAGCCCCACAGCAACTCTTTCCCCAGCAGCAGAGCCTGTAACGGGACACTGCTAACGATGCTGAGGGCACTCCAGTGCAGTCATGGCCTGTTGCACCTGACTCGCTCCTCGCTGCACACGGTACACTTGCCTGTTGTTAGCTTGTCTTCCACAGGCTAATTTATGACACTATCAGACTTATCGGCTGCTACTGCACGCCCTCATGCTAAAACTAATTACTTAAACTAATTACGTATTGAGCCTATATTACTTTGTAATATTGTGTTCCTTTATTGTTGATGTATAATACAGCAGAAGAGGTTGGGGCACACAGGAACACCTGCTGCTGCTTGCTAATGCTTCATCCTCAATTTATACTCAAGCATATAAATGAGCTCACAGTAAGTATGATGACTTTTTGGCTAGCATGAGAGTGTTTGCATGTGTTACTAGATCTTTAGACCCAAGCATGGCTCCTTCATTTGGATTCCTTATTTGCAAATGTTGGGAGTGGCTCAGCACATGTTTACTTGGCATGCAGTGTGTGTGTGCTTGTTTGCATGTTTATGTGTCTAAATCTATGCTTTACCCCTACCCTGCATGGGTTCTATTCTCACTTTCTCACCATCATCCATCAAATGTAAGTTTATACGAATATTGAAATATTTCTTTTTCATTTGGTAGACAGCGGTGTTGCTTATTTTTATTTTAAGCTATGTTACTATTTTTTACTGAGTAGTTATGAGACTCCTATTCAGGTTAAACAGTGTTTATTACAGACTGTAGTCCTCAAAATATTGTTCTCTTATTGTGAATGTTGTATAATTATTTTATTTACTTTTATTAAGTTAGCAAAATTCAAGAACCAAACCATAGACATCATTTTTTCTGCTTTATGTAGCATTGTGATCCGAAACCCCATACTTGAATCTTAGCAGCATATCTTATGTTTACTCAATTGCTTAAGTACAAATACAAGTACATTTTACTTTCCATTTCATGCTGCTTCATACTTCTACACCACTACATCTCAGATGGAAATATTGTAATTTTTACTCCTATTTGTCTGAAAGCTTTGGTTACTTTACAGATAAGATTTTTGCATGCCTCTCTGTCCACTGTAAACCAATATCTCCAGATTTGGTGATATATTTGTTATAAACTGAACAATATTATACCTTTCAGAAATGTTACCCCTTAAGCCTTAAGCCAAATATACAATGCATTGTCAGTTTTTAGGGAAACATGGTTCTCCCTGAACAGCAATGCCACGTTTATAATGGTCTTGTACATTATGATGCATTTTATGTTATTCTAACCAACAGTATTAGTTCATATACTGTAAGCACAACCTTAAACCACATATTATTGCAGCAGTAATAATAATCAACACCCATGATTATAAAACACTGGAACATTTTTACTGCACAATATATTACTTTTGAGAACTTTAAGTAATTCTTTTTTATAAAACTGTTTTCCTTTCACTAAGTAATTGTGAAGTATTTTTACATTGTGGTATCAGTATATTTTTTAAAATAAGAATCTGAATACTTCTTTAATCACTTGCACTTCTATAAATACTAGTGTCTCCAACCAGCTACATTATCTTTGACTTGTTCACTGGCAGTATTGTTGTGCCAAGGTTAAGCCAAAACTTTAACCCACTCATCAGCGTTGCGGATTAGTCCACGCCGGTACCAAATGCATCTTCAGTTTCTTTTAGGAGCTTCAAGTGACCAAAAGTCCACTTACACATCACTCAGATCAGAGAGTACATTTCCACTTAAGACTTTTAAGATGTAATTTGGTTTTCAATTAGATTTCTTTCAAATGTTATACCCTTCTTTCTTTCTATAAAAACACAGTAATGCTCAGTTAAACCTGTGCAGTCCATGATTTGTGCACTTCAAAGACTCTGGTTAATGCCAGTAAACATCTAACTAAAAGTGACAAGCAGCCAGTGTTTCAGGGCGAACAAGGTTGGATAACCCCACAGACACACACACAGTCTCCTGTAAGGGCTCATTTCCCTGCAGCTCCTGTTGGAGGTGTCCAGTGTGAGTCCTAGAGTTTCACCCTCCTTTCTCATGTGTCAAAGCACGTTGTGTTTATAGAAGCACTTATGTTTTATTGAAGTTATCTGCAGGTTTGCACAGGAGTGCAATTACCTAAACATGCATTCACATGTACAGGAGTCTAATTGCTGTGCATAGGTGATGACTGATAATATCACTGCAAAATCATGACTATGTGCCAGTTTTACGTTTCCCTGGAGTGATTTATGATCATTTACTCATTTATTCATAATAATTATAATATTAGATTAGATCAAATTACTGTTGAGAGGTGAGTTAAGAGGCAATTTCCCTTAACACAAATAAAGTGACCACTGATAATAATAATAGGAATAGTTGCCCACTGCAGCACTGTTTGTGCTTAGGTCTTCTAACCAGCTTTGTGTATGAATGGGCGTCTATATGGGGAAAGGCTCACGCTGCTACAGTGGCTAATTCCTGCTAATCCTGCCGTATCTCATACCACTTAGAGATGGTTTCCAATGGCAGCCCTGGAGCGGGGGAATTGCTGGTGAGATTAGCTGGCGTTAGCTCACGTTAGCTCCTCCTCTGTGGTTTACACTCACCGCCAGGCCAGGCGCCACCACCGCTCCAAGCTAACCTTTTGCACAGAAATGGATTAACTGTTTATTCAGAAATGTTTCAAGTCTTATTAAGAAAACAATGTAAGTTTGTTTGGATTTACTCTGCTGTCAGTATGTTTTTTAGTAGTAGTAGTTTAGTAGATTCAATGTTTAATGCACAATTGTGAGGGAAGCAAGAGGCACCCTTCTCTTGAAGGATTGTTAAGCAGTGTGTTTGTGGAGGATTTAGTGTTGCTTTATGAGTTTTTTGGCTCTGACTAACTTTCCTTTGGACATCTTCATGCAATCTACATTCTTGTTTTTTTTTCTCTCACTGCATTTAATAACCTTGATAATGTGTGTGTGTGTTTTTATCCTAGTTGGATATATGTTATTATAGTTTAAATGACACTTTTCTAACTATGAAATACTGTAGCAATGATAGAGTGATATCAGTGGCTATCATAAAAACTGAGGTCACTTACAAATCTTTAAAGTTGACATAATACTAAGCCACAAGGTCACAAGGAGTAAAATGAAGTTGAATACATGTTTATTAAACTAATGCCCAGATATGTCCAGAGTTTGATTTAACCTTGTTGCATCATGCAGCTAAATGGAAACCTCCAAGAATTAACCCTCAATCTGCCACTGGATTATCGTGTAGTGAAAAGGTCCTCCAGTTCAATTCCCAAACAAACCAGCATGACATCACTTTCAACAGTCAACAAGACACAAGTAAACAAGAAACTTATCTGATAACGCTTTTGTACAAAATCATTTCACACAAAAAATGCATTGAGTATTGTATTTAATCTTAAAAAAGGTAATATGTCTGTTTTTAAGAAACACTCCTCAGACAAATAACCGTTTCATGTGTGATAACCCAATGATTATAACACAACAAGGCACCAATGTGTGTTGTTCAAAATGTCTGTGTTACTCTATGTACTGACTATATGCATAAAGGCCTTTAAATCTCCTTCAGTGGAACTCTTATAAAGAACAAAGCACATCTGCAGGTTTTATACAAGTTGTGTGTTTTTCTTTCATAGGAGAAATCTCCAGAAGATGTTTCCACAATCAGGGAAATCGATTGTGTTCGACAACTTTCCAGATCCTACTGACGCCTGGGACATCATCGAGACAATCGGGAAAGGGACTTATGGAAAAGTCTACAAGGTGCTCAATAAACTTGATGGAAGTAAAGCGGCTGTAAAGATACTGGATCCCATCCATGTAAGTTGACTTTGTTATCTGGTACAGGAGTGTATTTCAATTTAAACGGCATATGTTATACTTCTTCTATTAGTGTTAACACTCCTTATGCAAAACATTATATGCAGGGGTAGACATTTTATTGTCACGGGTCCCACCATTGTCACCACTGGCCAAAGAGCATTCGTCCAAAAGAATCGACTAATAATGAAGAAAATTAACACATTTGTTGCAATAGTAATTTATGCACAAACTACATTACTACTTGTACTACAACATTTGAATCATCAGTTCAATCATTTTCCTCAATTGTTCATATTTGGTTTATTAAAGGTCCATGTTTTGGCCATTTCTACTGATCATAATTCCATTGTTGAGGTCTGCTAGAATAGATTTATATTGTTACATTTTCCAAACTCACATTGGTTTCTCATACAGCATCTCTGTATAGTATGTGTATTCTCTGTCCTAAGCGGCTTGTTGGAGCTCCTGCCCCCCCCCCCCACTCCCTGTGAGCCCACTGTGCTCTGATAACGGCTTGTTGGAGCCCCTGCC